GCAATTCTACATATAGGAAGATTTTTAAATATCTCGGCGATTGTCCTCCAGGAATCGTGGTCAAACAGTGGAAAATAGGACTCCGTTTTGTGGCTTGGTGCTTTTGAAGGATTTTGGATGGATCGACCTTCCAAGAAGAAAACGTGGCAGCGGAGTCCCAACATCCGTTAGACAGGAAGATGTGCCCATACAAGCTGAATTTCTCATTCCAGTCTGATAGCATTAACTGCATGACTATGGCTGCTGGAAAAGTGTTTGGTTTGTTTTCTGCATGTAATGTTAGGGAATGCGTACATCATTCCCTACTGCCGCGCCTCAGATCAAGAAGAGCTTCATGGCTGTCTGTCCCATATTCCTGATTTGTAGCCAGAGGCCAAATTTTCCTCTTCTGTTTATAGCTGTTGCTTACTGCCTGAACGAGACGGCGATGAGCAGCTTTCGAGGATACGGTAGGGCATTGCTAGTACTTCTTTGTCTGATTAACTTGTACTGTAAAGGCTAGGATCTTCTGCGTAATCCGAGACAGCTTAACTATTCTCTTCCTGACCTCAACTAAGATTTTCGACGAGGAAATGGTCGTTTTTCTAAAGTCTTTGAAAGCTTCATCGATACTGGGGCTTTTTTACTTAGCAATATGAGTGTCAGTAAAATAATTCATTCTTACTTTAGTTGGTTGACCGTGCGTCCTCGTCATATTTATGCCTGTCAACTTCGAGCAGCTGAAGTGGTTCAACTAGGCGGTGCCGACGCGACAACGCTAATTCTTGGCGAAATTCAGCTACGTTGTCGTTGCCCATGGTGATCGAAGCCAGTACAGGCCCCATGCGGTTGATGAGAGAGTGTTCTAGTTAGGCGTGTAGGCTTCCATCGGGGAACCTTCAGGTACCTTGTTGAATGCGTCTATGAAGAAAAGCGGTACCGCCAATGATGAGTTGTTTGTGGCGCAAGAACTAAGGAAACGTCTTCCATCCTCAATCGCACTGTCAACACTATCACGGCTGAGTATGCTAGACCATTTATCGTACTCCCGCGGAAGTTTGCACTGTTGTTGCTTGTCATAACTGTGTCGTCATGACGCCACAAGAGCTAACAGTTGATTGCAGAAATTCATAGAATAAGTTTTTGTTCTGTTACTGGATGCATTTTTCTGGAAATATACGATAATGATATTCTGCGTCGCCTGTTTGACGTTTGAGAGATTACGACTTTCTGTGATGTTTGTTCAACCAAATTGGCAGACTGTCTTACGCCAGGGGACTAAAGGATACCCACGCTGGCACGGCACAGTATTTTATAACCTAATCATTAGGATGACCACCCATTTCGTAGATAAAGTATCCCCTCTCCCGTAAGACGCGATTCTGTGACCGCCAGTACATCGAATTTGTACAGACAAATCATACAGCAAAAGTCGCTTAACTCGCTTTTACGAGAAAGGGAAAGAGTGGATCATCATGCAATAGAGAACTTACCATTTGCAATACTGACTGATGAAATCATGGATTTCTTTGCTGTTGGCAAGTTGACTAGCAGTTTGCAAGCAGTAACTACTAGTGCACTTGCACTTGCGCAACTCATATAAGCAGAATAAATAATAGTCAATTCGCCTCCGCTCGCTAAGAAATCAAGCGGACTTTCCGTATAAAATAAGAATCAGGTACCAATTGCTCAATTGACTAAACTAAGATCCAGGTTGAGGCCGTGAATGTTCTGGAGAAAACGTTTCGACAGAATCTGTTCCAGACGCGGGCCACTTTCAATAATGGCTGAGACGCTCGCGCAGGATCGGATGAGTTGGAGATACTGTCTAATGTTACTGGCTCCACAATAAGAAAGGAAGCGACTGTCGGAGCGGACTGGCTGAGGAAGCTAATAAGTACGACGGATTTTATTGCCAAGGTTGTTTATCTTCAGGTTATGAAAGTCCTTATGAGCAGTGTATTTGATAATGTAATACTGTACCTGCTGATAGTTAACAACTGTGCCAGTTTTACTGTACCAGAAAGTGCTGGCGGTAGTAAGCAGCTGTTCATACAAGATTTCGGCGGAATCAATGATTGTTTTCGTCCTCTTTTACTTGTGTTGTTCAGTCGAAGGCTTGGCATTGTATCAGATTCAAGCTTGAATCATATAACAGTAAAATCATATTTTTTATTGTTTCCCGCCTTTGTTGCAATGTATCGCCAGCCAAGTTTAAATTTTCGTACAACTAAGAAGTGCAAAAATTTAGTCGTTGTACGTTGACAATTTATTTTTGTATGACACAGCTCCAGAAGATGGACCAAGTATGATCCGAACTGTCGGAAAACTGCTAGCAGGTTGACTGTGCGGAGTAAATCTGTTTGTGATCATGGTGACATTGTTATTGTCAGGGTCAAGGACTGAGTACCCAGATTATTGATGCTTGATGCTTTAGCCTCTCAATGATTTCGGTGACATCCGTTGAGTTTATCGATCGAAGGACAGATTTCCTGGTTTTAAATGATGGGATCTGTCGATTTATACCACTCACCGCACATGTCGCGTAACCCGGATCACCGAGTGAAGCGAAAGCGCTTCCGGACCGCTCGCTTTCATGGTGATGAAGGATTATGTTGCAGTATAAACCAATCAGTTCATGTTTTTAAACTAACAAAAGAAGTCAAAAATCAGTTAATGGTTAATAATAAGAAGAGATGAAAAGAGCTTATGATTAAGGTGAGAGGCAGAGGTACCATTAGCCCAATTATTATAATGGAGTTTTGGTGTAAACGTTGTACAACTCGAATTTTGTCGATTTGTCATGTCTCCAAGTTTTTTTTAAGTCTGTGATTCGAGAGTCAAATCACCGTTCCTGCTGTAATGTAGGGCAACAACGAAGAGTTTAACAGATCTGTTCTTAACTCTAACCATTACAACTGGCATCGTTCCCATGGCAGTTGGAAAGATTCACAGCCGAATGCGACGTGGCAGTCATGCGAAAACCGTAATGCTTTCTCCTTATTTTTCCCGTTGCGTTTTTCAGATAATCGGAGCAAGTGGAGAAGTTCAAGTACCTCGGTGTCATGTTTACTGGTTTTTGAAAAAAAGGAGGAAGAGATTCACCGACGAAATGTAATGGAAATTGGCGTTCTCCATTGATGTTGTTACCATAATAGAGCTGAGTCTATAGACTGAGCTGTCGGTGTTCAAGTCGATTTTCATCCCCATACGCATTTGCGATCATGGGTCGTATACCATGACTAATAAACTTTGATTCTGGGTGTAAGAGGCTGAAATGGACCTTCTGGATCAAGTCTCTGCTCTTAACAGAAATCAGAGAGATCCTTTGTTCACAACCGCTGCTTCTCCGGATTGAGAAGGCATTGCTGCGATGGTTTGGGCACGTCTTGCAAATGCTTCCAAATGGATGACAAAACAGTTAGTACTTGACCAACGGAGAAGCCGAGAATCAGAGGGACGACAAAATATAACTTTGTGCAAGTGTAGAGAAAGACTGTGTTCCACACTCCGGTTATTATCTGCCGAATTTGAACGCTTGGACAGAATGAGGAACGTTGGAGACGCTGTATGACGCGTCTGCCTCCGTGAACCCAGAGAATAAGCGGTCACTGAAGTTAACTGACTGAGTGACCATTTCCCTTGTCAGGATATTAAAAACTTTTTTTGCATTCGTATTTTCATGGTTTTACTTTGAGTTGTCTGCTGTTTCCGTTCTTCAAGTCATTTTTCACCTGTTCAGCAAGCTTTTGTAAGTAAACGGTTTCTTTTCGGATTCACTTGACTTAGTGGATCGGGTTTTATTGGGTATATCATTCTTTTAAACAGCGTCCTTGTGTTTTTGTTCGTTTTTTTCTCATCAGTGCTTTGCTCAAAGTGTTATTTGATATGCAATAAATTACTGTTCTGTAGCGTTAGTTCCGATT